GGGCGGGGGCGGGCAGGGCCGCGGGGGAGGCGGTTTTTCCAGCGGCCGCGCCCGGGGCCCTCGCGGAGGAGCTGTTGGAGGGTGCGGGGGGGGTCCGCGGGCGGCCGGGACGGCCCGGAGGGAAAGCAGAATCCGGGGGAGGGAAACCGGGAAACCGAAACTGCTTTCGCTCTCTGTCTCGGCGTGGGCGTTTCGGGGAGGAGGCGTCGCTGCCCATCAGTGAGCAGCCGTTAAAGCCTGTCGGTAGCGGAGCATTACAGGGAAGGCGTTCTGTCCGCGGCTGGGGCTTATGCGGCCGTGTGCGCTCGCTTAAGCCGTTTCCTTGCTTTCTGTGCGTAGGTAAGTGTTTACGCCTTTTTTTGAAAAAGGAGAGTTAGATATTGTATTGCCCGCTTACGAACGACAGAAGGGGTTCAGTTGCAGATCATACTTACCGCTTCAGTCAATGTGTGTTTAGTAAAAAGTGCGTTAATCTAAATGCCAAAGCAATTCTTAGTCTGTAACGTGTGAACTGCACCGATTTCTGATGATTGCTGTTTTGCTGTAGATCTTTGAAACACCATCGACGCCGGGTCACCAGGGGATGGGCTGCTGAAGACGCCGCTTTGCTGTGCTGTCCGGAGGCGGCGTATGGCCGAGGGTGCCAGCCCCCTCCCTGGCTGCAGGCCAGCGCGGTTCTCGTTTCCACCATGTGAGCCGGCACACCTGCACAGCAAGTAGCCTCCTTTTCTAAAGGTAAATACCACAATTTGTTTTCCCGGTATATAGGTACGAGGAAATGTATGGGTTTACTTTACGTAGATTTCCCTTTTGTATTCCTTGTTATGCTACAAAACAAGCATTTACCGTCATTCCTTTTATATGGTTAGTTCAAGTGTTCATGCTTTTCCAGTATTCTGTTGAGTTTTTCAGACTAGTAGGATCTGAGATGACTGTATTGCTGCTTAGTGAAGAACTTCTGTTTTTAGAGGAAGCAATCTGTGGTGAGAATTTTATGATGCTTTCTAACTATAATAATAATGAGGACAGGAAAGTTCTGCATAAATACTTTTTGCTTTTGACAATAGGGATTTGCTGACCTATAAATTTTAGCAGGAGATTAAGACAAAAAAGCTAATTAAATTTTGTACTCATTAGACCTAGATACCACAGATACCAGTAAAACAAGATAATGAACTTTAGCATTGTAGTTCTGGAAAGTGTGCATTAAGTGTGGACGAGGGGGGTTTTTGTATGTACAGTGATTTTTCACCTGTCGTTTCGTAGCTTGCAGACTATGTAGTTTGTCTTCTTTTCAGTGCTTTACTTTTAATATTTGCCATTCAGCAGGCGTTCTTTTGTAATGTTCATTTAATGCTTTAATCTGTATTTCTTTGTTTAATTGCATGCGCCTATATGATATAAGAACGTCCAAGAACACATGCATGTATGCTGCTAATGAGTTACATAAATCCTGAAATTCATCGCACTTGAAAATTAGGTACTATTGTGGCTGAAAGGAAATATTTTGCTACTTTCAGTCTTTGGACTTCTGTTAATTCCTTCTTCTCTCCATCCAAAGAATGAGCACATGCCGATGGTGTACGCCTAGTGGTTCTGACACCACTGAGTTCCTGAAGAGCTATGCTTCTAAACGGTTGTCCCCGGAAGATCTTGAAGGATCCAACGATGATCTCTGTTACTGCCTGGAGTGTGTGGTTGAATACCACAAAGCAAGGGAAAAATTGCCAAGGCTGCATGAGGTAATTAAGAGATTTGGCTCCTGTCTATTCCTGAGCGGGAGGACTTGGAACTGAACGAAAACTTCAGAAGACTTCTGGGTCCAGCCTCCGTGTAGGGGGGAGTTTTGTGCAGGGGTTGTGTTTTATTAGTTTTTGGGAATACAGTATGTGGCTTTTTAAC